TTCTCGAAGCTTCCGCACCACCACAACCACCACCAACTACAACAACAACAATGCCCGCGAAGAAGGCCGTCGTCGTTCTGAAGGGTGACTCCAATGTTACCGGCACCATTTTCTTTGAGCAAACGGTCAGTTTACCCGGTCTGCCTGTTAAAAGTACCGTGTTATTCAAGTGTGCTAACTTTTTTGTTAATTTAGGATAATGGCCCGGTGAAGGTGACCGGCTCTGTTAACGGTCTCGCTGCTGGTCTGCACGGATTCCATGGTAATGTGCCCGACTACTCAATTCACTAATTGATTGCCATGGTTATAACCCTCTGTCACTACTACTTTTTAACAGTTCACGAGTTTGGCGACAACACCAACGGCTGCACCTCGTCTGGTGCTCACTTCAACCCACAGGGCAAGACTCACGGCGGCCCCACTGACGAGGAGCGTCACGTTGGCGACCTGGGCAACGTGGAGGCCAACGCCAGCGGTGTTGCCACGGTCAACATCACCGANCGACTACTCAATTCACTAATTGATTGCCATGGTTATAACCCTCTGTCACTACTACTTTTTAACAGTTCACGAGTTTGGCGACAACACCAACGGCTGCACCTCGTCTGGTGCTCACTTCAACCCACAGGGCAAGACTCACGGCGGCCCCACTGACGAGGAGCGTCACGTTGGCGACCTGGGCAACGTGGAGGCCAACGCCAGCGGTGTTGCCACGGTCAACATCACCGACAAGCTGATCAGCCTGGAGGGCGCCAACACCATTGTCGGTCGCTCGCTGATGGTAAGTTTTCCTTGTGTGCAGTTTATCTTTTCCAAGCTATTATTAATCAACTTCATCTGTCTATTTCTGTTTACCATTTTTTAGGTTCACGCCGATCCCGATGACTTGGGCCGCGGCGGCGTCGAGCTGAGCAAGACCACCGGCAATGCCGGCGGTCGCGTTGCCTGCGGTGTCATCGGTCTGACCAAGGCATAAGAAGACTGAAAAATACAGATTAGTACTCGTACAGCACGAGCAGGCGCACTCGCATATCGATCACGCAATTTCCGCAACCAGTACCGAGTGCACAGCTTTCAGCAAATGATTTACAATATTTTCCACTCAGCAAAACACACACACAGTCCTGTTTAAAATTCTCCTTACTACCTGTAGTGAAGTCACAAAATCCTGGTTACAGTTTTTTCGTTGTGCACAGTTTGCGTCAATAAAAAAGCTGCAGCCTAAAATTAGCCGACTTCAAACTACTTAACAGCTAAAGCGGGTGCCGGCTTTTTATCGTCACAGCTGAAACAGCAGCTCTTCCAGCAAAGTCCTCAAACTCTCGACAGTTGAAGCGACAAAGTTGGGTTTTGAATAATAAAATGTCAGTGCTGAAGAATAGTGTGAAGTGAAACTCCTGAACCACAATACTCCTGAATCTGCTCAACTCAAGTGCGCTATTCAAGCCAATTCGAATTTCTCCTTTTCTGGAGTTGGTTAGTTTTATGGCCCATCGTGATTGCTGCTCCAATTTCGACGTGTCATCGATTGGGGACGGGCGGCACTTGAGACAAGAGCACACTGGCAATATTGTGTGTGTCTATTTATTTTGTGATGTTGCAATATGCACTGCTCTTCTTCACTTCTGCAACACACAGCACAGCCGATGCAACAGCTTTGATTGGAACCGCCTGCCCGAATGCTAATTGCAATGACGCAGACTGCGGGACCCTGCTGCCCTCCGAAGTGCTACTTGTCCATTGTTTGCCGACGACGACGACTACGGACGATGAACAGCGCTGTGAAACCCCGGCAAACAATGAGAGAGAATGAGAGGTGCAAATTGCGGAACGGGGAACACACACACGCACAATGTGTTTGTGTTTGTGTGCCCGAGCCTGGAACAAAAGTGCGCATATTTGAAAGTGAAATCAAGTGACAATCGCCGCCGCTGTTGGACACTGAGAACAGGAAAGTGCGCCTGCCCGCGTAACGAGAGACGGTTGATAAACAGTTGGGCAAATTGTGCAGAGGCACAAACAAATTTAGTCAGTCAAAGACCGAGAACAAGAGGAGATTCCACTTGGGTGCACAGTGGGGCGGAAGAATGGGGAAAGAAAGGGGAAAAATTGAAAGAGTCAAACAGAGAAAGAAAGAGAGGAATTAAAAGAGAAAGAGTCAATGTGTGTGTGGGGCCACCAATTTGGCAAGGCTCAGTTTGTGATTTGAGCCGGCTGCTATGCCAGGAAAGGTATGCTGACAATGCCTCACTCTTTTTTATTCTGTCTTCGAGGAAGGTAGGTGCCCACACTTTTCTGGTGAACTTTGATAGGGCTCATCATCGACCACTACCACCACTACTGCCGCTGACAACCCTCCCACTCACGGCACTCTCTTTCAGACCGAGTATGCCCACTTTTTTTGCCGACCTTACAATTTAGTCTCTCTCTCTCTCTTTCTCTCCTCACAGCTTAATTTTCACTGTCTCTCCCAATCGGTTCAACACACTACCGGAGGTGAGCTGCACACTTTTGATTTGTGCTCCCTTTGACTTTGTCTTCCTCCTTCCTCTACCTTCTAGTGAAAGTGTTTTTGTGTTTGAGAGAAGTAGAGAATGAAGTGAAGGCATCCGCTATTTTCCTGTCGTCCGCATCTCCTCCATTCACTCGCCACTTTTTTGGTAGTGTTGAGCAGACAATCCGATGGTGGTGGTAGCAGCAGCAGCGGCGGCATCTGAAGCACTTTGCCGTCTGCCCACCGCCTGCCGACAGAATTGTCGTCTCTCCGATTCTTTCGCTCTCTCTCTCTCTCTCTCTCTCTTTCATTCTCTTTTGCCGGCCTATTGGTCGCTGACTCTGCTACTGCTGCTGCTGCTTCGGTTTCAGCAATACATCGAAGCGGCACACTTGTGCCGGGCACACACACACATCATTTGCCACCGAGACTTGATCAAGTGCGCTTCGATTTTGCAAATGCAACATAAATAAATACAAAAAATAGCTGAGAAAATCAAATTGAGCGGCGCGCAAAAAAAGCAACGAGCGGCTACTTTTCTTCTCCCGCTGTCTCCCACTTGTGTCCACAAAAACAATCGCTTTATTGCTATTCATAGATTAAACAAATACGTGATTTTTGAACCAAGTAAACACATCAAATTTTTTTTAACAAAGATTTTTTATCTAAAAGTTTAATAATATCAGCACATGTTTAAATTGTGATTTTAGTGTCCGCTTACACAAAACAACACACCTGAACTGATGTTGGTGCTGCCCAACCATTTAGTCGATTAACTACCTCAGAACTACTTCAAACAATTGCCTACAAGCCATTGGGCAGTCATTGAACTACCAAAAATTACAACTACTACCTAATTCAATTAATCACTAACAGTCCACCCAGTGGGAAGCACTGGAGTTGTACCCACGTACTAATGTGATTAGCAAGTGGGCACTTCCGTTCATGTATTGGAAGTGTATAAATTCTTGAAGGTGAATTACTACTGCTGCAGTCAACAGTGTGCTTTTGAGCGTGTCCGATAGTCGTCACTTGCGACTCGTTAATTGTGCGCTACCATCAAATAAATTCTTCTTCTTTTTTTTGCCAATCAAAAAGGCAGATCAAGAACACCTCGGTGCAGCAGCAGTAGCAGTCAAAAAGGCACACTGATGTGCTTGATCGGCACTGAGGCTGAAGCAGTTTTCCTCAGTCAACATTCCTTCTTCTTCTCCTTCCCCTCCTTCTTTTTTTCTATCACAAACACACACCCATTACATCGTCGATTTGCTGACAGACAGGAAAGAACTATTGAAATGGCCATTTAGCACGAACAAAGCGCTCGCCAAGTCGAGAGAAGGCACACACACTCACAACCATCGACAGTGCCCTACATTTGAACCAACATCAGCAACAGCAGCAACAGTGAACAACAGCCCAGCAATTGGAATTTTCTGCGATTTGTCTTCTTCGGTTGCCCTTTTTCAACTAAAGTGTGCAGAAGCTGAAGAGTGAAAAACTGCAGACTGGTGTTCTCAAGTGTCTAATCACCAGAACCAACAGCAGCAGAACACATACACACTAATAAGCCACTGGGGCCAATCGTTTGCAGTGGTAGTGCAACAGCAGCAACTGAACAAAAGGGCGACCATTGAGTGCACATCTTCGTTGTTGAGTGCACCCCAACCCCATCACTAGTAAAACTCTGCCATAACTCAACCAACTCAACTTTACAACTGACTCAACTGAACTAAACTTGCACCTGAGTTAGTGTGCTGCTTGTCTTTTCTTTTTTTTCGAATGCAGTTTTCTAAGTGCAGATTGTACTGCTGTGGAGAATCTAACTTGGCAATTCCACCAAAAGGAATCATCTGGTCTCAACTACGACTACCCTTTCACTTTTGCCAATTGCATATTCACTTGACTTCTAAAACTACTGCTGCTAATATTAGCGTTTTTCTACTCCTGGTCTTGCATGACTAATTATCCTAATTAAGGCAACAGCAGCAGCGACGGTGTGTAAATTATATATTGTGTTTAAAAATTGATACTGCATTCTGCTGAACTTTGTTTGGAATTTAATGAGTATGAGAAAGAAATGCTCGACCAAACATGTGCATCCCTTTTTTCTTAAAAACACGTGGAAGATGTTTTAATTAAAAGCACTGAACACTGACGCCAAAAACAGTGCCTAAAGTCAACTGAAGCAGCCCAATTTAAAATGCAAAAATCTAATTGGTGTTTGTGAGTGATTCAGCCAACAAATATTACTATGACCGAAACTCCAATCAATGGCTTATCAAGGCCACCACCATCACCATCACCTCATCAGTCGCAGCTGATCATTCGACTGTTCAATCGAACTGTAGAAAGCTCATCCTCTCTGAAAGATGCAGTCGTCTCTTACATTTCATCATCCGCTGGTCACCAACATCAGAAACAGCAAAATCATCCAAACCATCTCTCCACATCTTTTTCCTCCTCATCCTATCACCCTCCCATCATCAGGCACCTCCTGCACCCTGCGTTCTCTAGTTCATCACCCCCGTCACCACCATTGCCGTCACCAGCAGAAGCACTACCACACACTTCAGCCAACTTCTCCGTGCCTTACCACCATCACCACATTACCTCCTCCTCCTCCTCCTCCTCCTCTTATCACCATCAACTCTCTAATCTGACCATCTCACTGACCAACGACACTGAAGTGTTGTCATCTTCATCATCCGATGGTGAATCAATCAGCGCATCGCCAATCAACGCCACCGCCGAGGGAGGCGACGGAGGCGGCAGCAGCGGTTTTGGTGGCCTGAGCGGCTGGTTCAGCTGGTGGAACTCCTCCATCTACACCCACCCCGATGTGCTGCTCGCCTTTGCGTTGATCGTCTTCTACGCCATCTTCGTCCTCTTCATCTGCGCCATTATCCTCCGCATTGTGGTCACCATCGTCTGCAGCAGCTCCGGGCGGACGATGGCGGCCACCTTTGCCACCTCCTCGGACGGCTTTTCCGGCGATGAGTCCTCCAGCCAGCGGACAAGGGGCTACAGTCAGAGCTACAGTACGAGCTACACCAACAACAACAATGGAAATAAAATGAACAATCGCGGGCCTCGATTCTTCGCCCACGAGATGACCTCTTTCGCCATTGGTGATCGCACCAATTCGCCGTCAATCATCGATGAGGAGGATGAGGAGAGCTAACAGGAAGAGAAAGGACTGTGGCCTAAAGAACTAGGAACTAAAAACAAGTATTTTGTATGCTAGCTTGTTCACTACAAAAACAACATATCACAGACACTCATGATGCTGCCCTTTTCTTTTTGGGTTAATGTTATACGGGGAGGGAAAAAAATGTTTCAATAAAACTGGTTATAAGTTTTTCACACTCTATTGACTAAAGTCTAACTTTTTCTTTTTAAGCATTTTATTCAATACAGCCGATCACCAGTCTGATCACCATAAAAGTAGAGGAGGAAGTAAAGAAAGTCTCAATAATGAGTTT